TCGGTTTTTACGTATTTATACAATGTAATAAATGCCTGTGAACGGAATTTCATTATACGAATGAAAAATTGCATTCTTTAATAAAGTTCTGTTTTAAATTGAGTTATAATAATGTTATGATTATGCTGAAACATGTAGTAATTTATTGATAGCGGCAACGTTGAAAGCAATTTTAATTTGTTATATCAGATATCTTTCATCTATTATGCTGCTTTGTAAATAGTGATCTTAAAATAAAACCGAAAATATAATGAAGTATATATCCTATCGAATTCTGTAATAGAAATTAAATAGTATTGATGTCATTTAACGCGATGTTCTTCCTAAATCCGTGCACATTTAAATTTAGTACTTCTACAGTTTATGATTTAGTTTCATAAATTACAATATAGAGATCGACTTTGATTGAAAATCATATGATTTATATATATATTTTTTAAGACAATCATATATTACTTGAAGATGATATATTAAAGTATTCTAAAGTATTCTACATTCTAATCACTGACTTCTCTTTGCTTTCATTCTCGGTTTTTACCGTTCACTTGTGTGCAGAGGAGTTCCTGGTTCTTTACAATTTCCTTTATTTGTAGACTAGATAGAAACACTTAGAATATAAGTTTATGAATGTTTTTTTTTAATTTTGCGGAATCGTCTGTTCAACACGCAAGGCGTGATCCTACTTTCATCGAAGGCTACTCGTTTATTTTTATGATATCGGCTACCTTTTTAAGAAAAGGAAGAAAAGAAAAGGATAGGAAACGTATCCATTACGATTCGAACGAAACGTGAACGGCGCGGAAGTAAAAATCGAACGTTCGGTCAACAGTTGTGCACTTGTAACGCATAAGCGGTCTCGTACGACCTAGGAAATGCATGGATTGGTGCCCGCGTAATCTCATTGACTTTGTGGCCGCGTGTACGAACGCTGTGGCGGAAGCATTACGACACTGCACATACACACACACACACACAGCCGGAAAGATTTTTCAGAACCGCGAAGAACGCTCTTGGCACAACGAACTTTCGATCGTGGTGGGTGGTTCCGGTGCCGTGGAACTTGGAAAGTTTCTCCACGACGATGCAAATAAGAGATACAAAAGGGAGAGACGGACCGGTAACTTCGTACGATAGAGTAGAGAAGCCGATGGTACTCTGCATCATGCGAGACAGATTGTTGACAAAGGTTCCAGTAGAATTTAAATGAGTATTATCCTGCCCCGCATTGCGCAACACAGGGAATTTCTGTGTAGTCCACTTTCGATGAAAGTTACGTTTACAAATCCGCGGTATAATGCACTTTGGTTAATACGGTGATCAATTCAGATTCTGTCGCTGCTACAGCTCTTCACAGAGATTTCTCAGATCGGGTACGTATAATGTGGAAATAACAAGGTTATATAATTACACGCGTTTGTCTTCACAGCGGGATGCTATTTACCTGTCTCCGTTTATATTCCTTCACTTGTTCTAGCATTATAACAATGAGAGAATTAAATGCAGTAGAATATCGTCGAGACGGTTGATGTAACAATTAAACGCAATGATTAAAGATAATTCGACGTTTAATTAAGATTCCAAGATAGTGTACGCAAATGGGAAAATAGGAGAAAAATTGTTCAATAATCGTGACAGACCCTTCCCACTTTCACTTTCAATAATGTTGATTAAAACCGGCGTAACGATTCCATGTTATTTTCCACGTGACTCCCCTTTTCCCTCGGGAATTCGATAAAGTTTTATCAAGGAGAAACGTGGCGTAGGTGGTGGAAGTAATTTGTCGCACCCCTGTGAAATTACGGTCTAGTAATTGCGATGAAGTTACGGTCTTATTTTACTTACGACTCTGTTCCTCGTTAGAATTGTGCTGTAAATTGGAGGAAAAGTTCTTCTTCGTTGATGTAACTAGTTAAATATATCCCCCAAGGCTGTCAATTTCGCGATATTTCATCCAATGTGAATCTTCCATTCTGTTTCACCTCGATTAATTTACGTTTCTTTCTTTTTCGCGACACTATAAGAGGATGCGAACGAATAAAACTCAAACTCGAGACGCGTACGTGTTGACAGAACCAATATTAGCGTAATGTTGACGATCATTTTTCGAGCAAACAAGCTAGTCTATCGACGAACGTGACGAATCGTATAGACCGAAGGATTCCATACTTCCTTCGCGTTGTATATATCACCTTGGAGTGCTAGAAATTTTTCAAATTTAGGAAGAACGGGCAATAGAGTACTGTATTAGAGAGGCTGCGACAGCTTCTACCTATATATGCATCAATTTTTTTTTTTAAATTCGAAGATCTTCGTCTCAGTTGTTTCACTCGCTTGAAACGAAATCTTTCACAGGAATATTTATACTTCCGACGATACGGAACTTTGATATTATAAATTTCTATATTCCCATAGAGATATGCATATTTCATTTGCTCGGTTTTGTTGACACGGTACAGCAGGTTTTGTACACAGAGAGTGAAGGGGAGGGGGTATCAGAAATGCACGCGTTGTGCGGCGAATAAGAGATATTTCGTCATTTGCGAAAAAAAAGAAAAGCCAG